TTAGTCCCTCTTTTTCGTTTTAATGTTGTCATCTTTTACATATTGGTGTCTCTGTATCCCGATTTTCAGTGTTTTAGCTTTGACTTAGTTTTGTGACTTCCCTATCTGAGTCGATATCTGGTTGTTCTGTGCTGTGTTCTAGTCTTGGGTTGCTATCTGATGTTACTGGTTTTCTAACCGGAGGACTCCCTTTAATATTTCTTGTAATTTTGGTTTGTATTTTGCAAATTCCCTAAACATCTGTCTATCTGGAAATGCACTAATTTTGTTGTCATATTTGAGAGTCAGTTTTGCTGGATATATAATTTTTGACTGGCAATTTTTTTCCTTCAAGGCTTTATATATGTCATCCCATTGCCTTCTTACTTGCATGGTTTCCGCTGAGTAGTCCGAGCTTATTCTTATTGACTCTGCTTTGTAGATGACTTTTCGTTTATCCCTAGCCACTCTTAAAATTCTCTCTTCGTCTTTGGTGTTGGCAAGTTTGATTATATGTCTTGGTGCATCCCAGGCTTCTACCCACTAGATACCAGTAGGCCCCCACAAGTCTATGCAGGGGTGAAAGGCACTCAGAGTCTGCGGACCCCTTGTGCCTGTGCCAGGCAAAGGAGCTGTGCCAACCCTGAGGTCCTGGCTTAGGGGAGCCAGTAGCTTAATTTTTCAGTTTGTTCATTTCTTCCCTCTCCAAGGTCGGGAGAATGGCTCAGGGCGCCTTAAGGGATCTACTTCCGGCCCAGGGGATTCATCAATGGCTGAAGCAGGCTGGCTGGCCGGGACCCAGTGCACAGCGGGGAGGGGGAAGGTAAACGGGAGAGAGGTTTTTCCCAAATGGGTTTTTTTGTGTTTAATCCCCGTGGTAAGCCACACAGAAGTACTTACCTTTAGCCGCTTGAGTGCTGCTTTTCACTGGTTCTGGGTGTCCGAGTAGACTGCTGCTGGGTCTCTCTCTCCATGTGGAAAGCGCCTCCCAGCACAGCTGTTTGCTGGCCTCACTGCGCACCCTGAGCTGATCAGGGCTGAAGGGCTGTGGCTTCCGCCTGGTCAGGTTTGGCAACTCCTTGCTGCTTCTGAAACGTCTCTCTCTCTCCAAACCCTCGCCACTCAGTCTGATTCCTCAACTTTGCCTTTGATGTTCACGGGTCCTAGATATCCATATACAATCAATTCACTTATTTTTTCAGGTCTTTGTTGTAAGAGGGACATAGAAAGCCTCTGACTACTCTGCCATCTTGGCCCTGCCTCCAATTTTATTTTTTTTAAATAGATTTTGTTTTAGGGGAGAGCAGTTTTAGGTTTACAGAAAAATTGTGCAGAAAGTACAGAGAGTTCCCAAACACCCCCTACCCTCTGCACATGATTTCTCCTCTGAACACCTTGCATTCCTGTCATAACATTTGTTACAATTGATGAATCTATTGATACGTTATTATTAACTAAAGTCCATATTTACCGTTAGGGTTCACTCTTCTGTTGTGCGGTCGTATCTCTTTGACAAATGCATAATGTGCTGTATCCATCATTATAGTATCATACAGAGTAGTTTCATTGCCCTAAAAATGCCTGTGCTCCACCTATTCATCCTCTCACCGACCCCCGAACCCA